AGATGTTGTAAAAAATTCCAATGTTATTATTGAATGGTTAAAAGTTGAAGGAGATCCAGTAGAGGATAATGAAATTGTTTGTAGAATTGATAGACAACCAGTTGTTGGTGATGAAATTAGAGAAATGCAAGCTGATTATAAAGGAATTATTCATAAAATTCCATTCGAACCAAAGCCAACAAGGGAAGATATTGGAAAGAAATTAAATGTTAAAATGTCACCAAATCAAGAATTATACGTTTTACAAACAACTGAACAAGAAATCAGATCCCAAGAAACAGTATTTGCCAAGATTAAGAGATTTGTCAAGCAATACGGTGCTTTGGGTATTGTAATTTATTTTGGTATTTACTTTTTGGTTTTAGGTACAATTTTCCTCTTATTACAACAAGGAGTTTTCGCAACTAAGGATGTTTTACAATGGTTGCATAGTAGTGGACTTGATAAGCTTATTGACATGTCTGATTTGGATAAATCAGAAATGTATGCCAATGCCGGTGTTGCTTGGGTTTTGACTAAATTTACTGAACCTTTGAGAATGGCTGTTACTTTGGCTATTACTCCAAGTATTTACAGATTATTGAAAAAGTTAATGAGAAAGTAAATTTTATTATATTGTAATTCAATCAAAATTTAAACATTGAACCAAGTTCAATAATATTATCATAATGTCAATACTTCCACTCCAGATTACACATCAAAATTAATTTTAAAAAAATGAAAATAGCTGTGATTGGTTTTGGCACAGCGGGACCAGCTTTCAGTCTCTTTGCATCAAAGCGTATGTTGTTGAAATAATATCATCTAGGGCAAAATAATTTAATTCCGATCACATTCAAATTCCGATCACTGGTGTAGCAATAAATTGTTGATTTATTTGAAATGTCATTGGGAAGTCATGGCTCTTTCTCTCCACAATCAATACATAAGATGGTGGTAATCTCTTTTCCATTGATTGTTTCTGTTGATGGCATTGTACATGTTTTGGAATGGCATAATTTTTTACAAGTCGAACATGTCACCATACCATCATGATCGTCTTTAAATTTACATCCAGAGTAGCAGCATATATTTTGTGATGATGATGCACTTGGAGAGGAGGTTGGATTTCTATCCATAGTATATGCACACTTTGCATGGCAAGTACAATACATAGTACACATTTTTCCCGCCAATTTGCATTTACATGTATGATTAGATCCACAAGCATGATGACATGAACAAACCACACCATGTTGCTTCTGTTTCTTCAATAGGGTGTTTTGGGCACGAGTTTCGATTTTAGCTTTCTTCTTTGCTTCTCTAAGGGTCTTTCCTTCCTCTTTCTTTCTTTTCTGTTTTTCTTTTTCTGCTTTTTTTTCTAGTGCTGTTACCATATAGTCGTTGCGTGTTAGTACAAAGTTAGTTTTCACTCTGGTTTTTTCTTTGGTTTGTTTTGGTGGTTCATGTAATAAATTTCCAAATTTGGAAGGTGGTTTTTCATCTTGATTACTATTTTTGGTATGTTGAATTTTGGCAAGTGCT